GGGGGTCTCAACGAATTAAATAACTGTTCATCTTTTTAAACCATGGATTTTGCTCCAGAGGTTTGCAAAAAAGTCTTGTGGCATTTCTTGCTTTTGGAATGGCACAAATGTTTGCCTTTAGATTTACACAAGGGATCAGCTAAGAAATGCTGAGATAAATCACAGCCAACTCCTACAGCAAAATGGATACTTTGGGGGTACATAGTTTATGAATGGATCTCCTTGCAGGTCATGAATGTGCAGATTTGATATGTAAATCCAAGAGAAGAAAGGGGCTTTTTGTTTAAGGGAGAAAAATACTGGATGGTGGGAGGACTGGTATCTTGTACAATTGGTGACCATGCCAACTGGAAATTCTTGGACTACATATTAAAGACGATGAATTTCAGTTTTCAATGGAGAGGGTTGAATAAAGGTATGTTTCTCGATGCCTACCATTTCAGTCAACATTAATGGAAGACCACGTCATAAGGTCACCAGTTCTAGGGTTTTGAGACAGGGGGACCCACTGTCCTTGGTTGTTTATTTGTGTTATGGAGACTCTTAGTAAACTAATGGAAGGATAGAAGAATCTGGCCATGGGAGAAATCAGGCTCTTTTTCTGTGAAATCCTTCTTTAAGAATGTGCAAGCAGTCATCTGATGGGTTTCCTCAGTCTAGAATATGGCAAAGACATGCTCCATCAAATGTAACTTTTTTGTGTTGGATTGCAGCATTAAATTACAAAGGACAGATTGATAAGGAGAGAGATGGTACGTGATAACATTGATTGTGTCCTTTGTGGAATACTAGAAAGCATATCTTTATGCAATGCAGTTTTACTAGAGAGATCGTCTGGTCTCTGATGAGGGGTGCTTTTAACTGGAGAAGTTGCTCCCCTGAATCAGTCCTGCAAGCTTTCAAGGCCTTAGAGCTGGCTGGACTTAGTGAGAAGGGCAAAGTAATTCCAGTGTATATGGTTCAAAAGGACGTAAAGAACTTTTGAGGGCAGAGAAAATTCTAGTGATGTGGTTGCAAACAGATTCAAACGCCCCTTATGCTTCAGAGGTATACCCTAGAACAGGTGTTTATATTGATACTTTGTTTCATTAGGTCTTGTTCCACGAGAGGAAGAATGGTTGATTGGTTATTCTTTTCTTGATTTGTACAGGTCCTTGGTGTACAAAGATTCTTTACTTGTGTATCCTATTGTTCAGTTCAATACAATACAACAATTTGCTTTTCCAAACAATAAATTCTCTTGCATTGTAAAAGGTAGGTTACCTTCTGGTATGAAGTATGATTACATTATTTAATCAATACTAAACATGAACTAGAGTATTTTGAAGTTTTTAACAGGGATAAGTGTTTTTTTTTTTTGATAAATCAGGGATAAGTGTTATAAAAATAGCTGGTTTCTTATATCCATATGATCAACCTTCAACACAGTTTTTTTTTCAATAGACTAGGTAACCAAGAAAAACTTAAGCTACTAGGTGCACTAAGCTAACAATGAGACTTTACACTTGAGAAAACTATAGCCATCATTGGGCTACCTATATGGGCCTGGTGTTGAGCATGCTGATGGGCCAACAGTTTGACTGCTATAAGCCCTCGCCCAGCCAACCCAAACATTAGAAAAAATACTGCTCAAATTGTCGGTATGTCACTACTCTCCAAATGCAGAGAGGGCATACTTAATTTATTTAAAGAGAAGCCAAGACAACTAAAAAGCAAACCAAAAAAACTCCTTTCGAGCTACATTAAACATCAAAAAAGAACTCTAAATCTCAACCTAATTGAAAAAGGGGGGGAAAACTACACTCTGACTAAGGCTGTAAACGGATTGAATTCACATAGGGTTCAGCAAAATCCGAATATTGAAAACTTGCATCCAAATCTGATTGGATTTGAAGACCTCAGAATCGAATTTAATCCGACTCCACTTTAATTTTTCTAAAAACAAAAAAATGAAAAATTAGTTGTCAATTATATATAAAATAAATTCGGTATGTTATATTTACATTGATTTATTATATATATATATATAATAAATCAATGTAAATATAACATACTGAATTTATTATATATAAATATATATATATTCACATATAATATAATGTATAAAAACATATTTTGTATAATTTTAAATATAAATATAAAATTTATATATTAAAATCAAAAAAGATTATAATATAATCGGATTCAGATTTTAATCGGGTCAGATGGAGTCAAATCTGAATCCGATCTGATTATTAATTGTATGTGGATTGCAAAATCCAAATCCGAACACAAACACATCATCTGAATCCAAGATAATTGGATCAGGTGTTGGATTGGCCACAGATTTTCAGGTATCATTGACAGGTCTAACTCTGACAAGACTCAAAGAATTGTTGATTACTAGACCTGTTCATGGGCCAGCCTGGCCTGGCCCATTCTTAGTCGAGCTTGGGCAAGAATTTAGGCCCACAGGCTAGGGCTCAGGCCCAAAACACTAGGCCCAGCATTTTTCAGGCCGGGCTCAGGCTTTCTCAAAAAAGCCCAGACTGAGCCCAAGCCCAATGATAATGTTTTGTATAATACATTTTTCCTTTCTTCCTCCTCTTTTCTCAAGCCATAGTGAGATCTTTCAGTATTTTTCGGTTTTGAGGCCATTTAATATAAATAAATTAGTTTTGTCATAAATAAAAATTAAAAAAAAAAACTTCTTGCCCAATTTTCTTGGTCAAGCTTTGGGCTTGGGCCTGGGCTTCAGACTTAATACAAGGTCTGGGCTCGGGCTCAAGATCTAGGCCCAATGGCCAGGCCAGGCTCTGGCTCAGACCTGAATATATTCTGTTAATATAGAGGCAAAGCCCAGCCTGTGAACAGGTCCACTGATTACTAGCAGAAGGGCAACTGTTTTGTAACTTTATCCCATTAATGCCCTCAATCATTTAAAAATTTGAAGCACTGTTACTGATAGAAAAATGCCCTTGATCATTTAAAAATTTGAAGCACTGTTACTGATAGAAAAATGCCCTCAATCATGATATTTGGGTTGTAGTTATTAGGCAAAGTAGGAAACAACCAACCAAGATCCTAAATGGCATTCTTTTAATGTGCACCACAACTGACAATTACACAGGAAGTCACCAACAAATAGCAAATTTGAATATCAAGCATCATGCAAGAAAGAAAGAAGAGAAAAAAGAACTCATGCACTAAGTTTTGGAGTTCAAATTATTTGACGGACTTTTTGAAATATTTTATTATATTTAAAATTCAACCAGCTGTTAAATCTCTCAGGAGTCAGGAGCCAATCAAGTACCATGAAGAAAAAATTGAGCATTTCATTTTATCAGAAATGAGTGAGAGAACTTAATTAAAAGACAAAGAAAAAATAAAGGTATAATGAGCTAGTCCCAAAACAAGGAAAACATGGCCCAAATGAACCTCTATAAGAGACCAGAAAAAACACAGTATAGAAAATATAGCAGGATCCCATAATCATGTTATCCTTGAGGGGAAGGCCTCTCAGCAATAGTGGGTTTTCCCTAGAACAATTACTTAACATATCTTTCTAAGATCTCAAATGCAAAGTTGTTCCATGAATTCCTTGTAGGCATTTCCATTTTACCAATCAAAAATAGTTTAGAAAAATCCTTCAAAACCAGAACAGTGGAACATTTACAAAGAGCTAACTTTTACCTCTGTGTCATCTATCCTTAACCACGTTCCATGCATATCTTTCACGTAGGACACATAATGCCCTGAAAATGATGCATTCAATGTATCCAAATGCACAACAACACCATAAAGCATATAAAGTGGAGGGCTGTCGCCTGTTCCAGTCATGAATGGGATCATGTCCAGCATATCTGGGAAGGTAATACATTTGTTTATTTTGCCATATTTCCCCTTCTGATGAAACAAAATTCACAGTTAAGGAATTAATAAGTCAATAATTATACAAAATGTGGCATCCCAAATATAAGTTTCTATTAAAAAAGGCTGAAAAACAAATAATAATTTTAGACAAGGAACATATATCTCCAATTACAAACATAAGGAATCAAATTTTGGTTTTACAGAAAATCTTTTCCAGCACCACAAACAATGCCGCTTTTCCACTGACTCAGCATTGTATAACCCAGACAACTTAGCCAACATCCTGCCATATTTTGGTTTGCAGTGATTAAACTGAGCCACCCAAGTCATGCTGGTACCCAGGATCTTTTCTTGTAGTAATCAAAAAAAAATATTAACGAAAAAGTGTATAGAATGAATATATGGCTGAAAGGGGAAAAAAGTGAAAACAAGCAAGGAGAAGAATATAAAAAGAACCAGCCATGCCCACCCTGGTAGACAGGATCCATAAATAATCAGATGAATTACAACAACTCAAGGAGAACATCAAACCCTAAGAAGCCGATGTTTTGAGAACATAAAGACTCAAACCGGAAAAAAAAAATGCTACAGAAAAGAATAATGAACCCACTAAGCAATACTATTTCCAAAATACCTGAAATCTCTTCAAAACTATTGTCAATATGTTGGGTGCCTCATGTATGCTCAATTGCTTTCGGGCTTTTACATATGTCGCGCACCTTTATTGAAAACATGCAAAAGATTGTCAGTGATTCAAATTTTAGATGATCATCAGGAAAGGACCTAATCTGCAAGGCATGGAATGAGTTTCTAAAACACAAATAATGCCATCCAACCTTCCACATCTGTACATGTTTTCTCCATCCAAATCCTCAGCTGCAGTGAATTGAGTAAGTGCATCCTCCAGTGACTCCACCCAACCAAGTATCTCCAATGTAAGATCCATAATGTTCTCATATCGTTCAGATTCATGATGACATTTCAGGCACTTAACCTGGATATGGTCGTATGAACTTATCATTGAAAATCTATATATGAGAAGAATAAAATTAACACAACAGACAGATTTTGTGAAGTGGGTACTTGAAAGAGGTTGAAGAGAGGTAATATTGCAATAATCACCTTTGATCGAAGGCGACCGCCAAATGTATGTTGTATGAATGTCGTTTCTTGCAACCTTGAATCAACATGCTTCTCACCACCCACTACCTCAAGGCATATAGATTGCATAGAAGCGACTAGAAGCCTGAATATAGATAGCCACTTTAGAAAAAGAAAGCTCACATGAAACGACCAAAATGAACAAAGAAAAATACCAACTATTGATCTGTGAATCTAAAATTGAATTTAGATCACTAAGCTTATATGGAGGTATTCAGACTTCAAAGACAGTATAAGAAGATCATATACCCAAATAAAATTGACAGGTACATGTTCACAAACCTTAGAAATTCATGAGCATCTTCCTGACTTCCACCACCCATACGAGAAGCAATGTTTCTCATATGCAAAAGGATTCGGTTGGGAGACAAAGGACCTCCACCTTCTGTTAACATCATGACATGATGCTCAAGTTCACACATGAGGCACCAATCTTTCACACAGCCTACCATATACAGGAGAGATAAGAAGACATGTATATCATATAACAATACAATGCATCAGATCTGGTTATTTACAGCTTAGGGACATTGATATAAGATATGCAAAACAAGCACATACAGGTTCTTGAATGTGATTTCCGAAGCAAGTACACAATGAGGGGCTTTGTGCAGGTCAAACATTGCAATACGGCATTAGCATAGCAACTGCAAGATCAAAATCAAAAAATGGGCAACAAAGTCAACAACAGAAGAATAGAGGATGATAAGAAATCACAAAAGAACAAAGAAGTTGCATCTTATGCTTAGCTGTAGGTAGTTATGGTTCAGAATTCAGATCCAACAGAAAATATACTCAATGGACTACATGGATGAATTTAATCTTTTTGCACCGATACCAAGTAGCAATAGTTAAGATCTCTCTTCAGTTATTCTCTTTTTTCCTTATTTTCTTTTTAATAGATAAGATCTCTCTTCAGTTATTCTCTTTTTTCCTTATTTTCTTTTTAATAGATAAGACCTCTCTTCAGTTATTCTCTTTTTTCCTTATTTTCTTTTTAATAGATAAGATCTCTCTTCAGTTATTCTCTTGTCTGAGTATGGAGAATCATTTCCATCTCGATCTTTGTTCTCAATAAGGGTTATCTTCGGTTACTTGCAAAATTTTAAAGATAGATTGCTCTAATTATTGGATTCTGCATTCTAACTTCATAGTCAAGACTTCAAGTAGAGGGAAATTGAATACAATATTACCTGTTCCCACAATTTAAAAGACCTCTAGGAGACAAGTCCCAGACTTCATATTGAAAGAACTTTACAAATTCTTCATAGGGGAAAAGAACCTGATCCATTAGAATAGTGGAGCACAAATGAGTTCAATATTCAGAAATAGAGAATAGCTAAATAGGCAATTCACATATCAAGTATTAGACCTTATTTCTCTTATGTGTATCACTAATAGCCCCAGTGACACTCTGCCTAGGAACTTTAGGTGACTTCTTTAGGCCCATCATTTTCATAATTCCAATCTCTGAGACACCATTGCAGTTTTGTGCATGGGCATTCATGGAAGGATTTACTTGATGGATTTCTGCACACATAATAGAGAATTGGTGGTGAAAAAGTCCTGTGGGATAGTAGAAAATAATGAATTGATATATATCTGAACAGAACCAACACAACCCACTTGATTCATTTGCCATGCTCCCCTTCCTGTCTGTCCCTGAATTTACATTTTCTCTTGATGCTGCTTTCATTGCTGATCTTGGTGAGCCTGAACATTTGGGTTCTAAAGAATTTGACTTTCCCTTTGATTTTCTGCTTGTCTTACCTAAGATCATTTCAGGAGAAGAGTTAAAGTATGCTGTTTCGTCATTACAAGCCAATCCCTCCCTAAGGATATTGCCTCTGTCTGAAGTGAAGCCTATCTCGGCTTCACCTGTACTAGCCCCATTGTTCTCTAAGGAGCTTGAAATAGGGGAGTCAGTGCTTGTTTGAAATGAACATCCAGTATCTCCTCTTAACTTGTGATTTTCATGCAAATTGTTTCTTGGAACACTCCTTCCATGGACAAGCACAGGATTGTTGACAAGATGCTTTCTTGAAGTTTCTTCTGAAGATGCAACTAGGCCATCATTTCCTGACTGAAACCACCAAAGGAGTCGAAAGTAAACAGATGCATCAGAACCACAGAAAAAGAAGTGCAGCCTTATAGGAACCTCAACTCAAATTGCTAGTACCTTAAGCTTTAAAGAAGCATCCTTCAATGGAATAGCATTAGACAATGTTGGATCAATGACCTTACTGCTGTATGCTTCTAGGGATGATCCAAATACTGCTGTGTCCTCTCTTCTCAAGAGTTCTCTTTGGGATCTACTACAGGACCGCTTGTCTGGAACCTTTCGCTCCAACGTTGAAACCTCAGATGTATCAACTGTAGTGGTGGTGGTGGTGGTAGAAGCAATAGCTGTGGTAGTTGGAGCATGATTTGGTCTGCCTGAAGAAACATTTTCTGGCATAGGCTGCTTAGTTTCATACCCATAGAATAGTTTGTTGAGGTTTTCATTTAGTAAAATTCTCTCATCAACAGAATCTTCAACTGCAACAGGCTTAGGGGATGAATTTGAGCTCAGGATCTCCAATTGCTGGCATTCTTGTCTGTGGCCTTGCCTCCAGTGAATTATCTGACACTTCCCAGAACTGCAGATAGATGATCAGTTTAATAATAATAAAAGTAAATTGAGAAAAAAATGAATATGCAGTAGGACCAGCTTAAAAGTAAGCTATAAGTGAATAATATACGAGGACAACATCAAGTTATAAGTGTATAATCAATGAGGACGGTATGACTGTTCTTACAATCCACCCCCTTGGGAAGTCACTCCTCATACAATTGATTCCTTGCTACACCTGGTCCTGCTAGTGAATCAGCCATGCTGTTGAACGTGGGATCCATCTATATGACACTTCCAAAGTCCCAATAGATATCATAAGCTAAAGGATACTCTAGTCAGCAATCCTTATTCCAACTATGGGAGTCATGTTGCATTAACTATGAAATAAGGTCTAGAAATTTTTAAAACTCTTCTTCAGTAGAGAGGGGGATCCTAAAACACAAGAGTTCCCTTAACAAATGAAACAGTCCTAGAGAGATAGTTATAAGCTTTCACTGTCCTTTCGGCTAAATATCAGTGGAAGAAACTAATAGCATCTTATAATTAAGCAAACAATGAGAAGAAATGATGAAAGAAAAATAAGAATACGAGATGAGAAATAGAGATGACGAGTTCAGTTAGGATTAGAACTCGTTGTGTAGCGCCTTCAAAAGAAATCGGAAAAAAAAAAAGAAAACTTTATTAATAAAAGGAAGTAGTACATCAAGAGGTGATGAGATGAATAAGAGAGATGAGAAATAGAGACGAGTAGTGAGAGTAGTGTGGGAGGAAAGAAATACAATAATATTTGAAGAGAAGGAATGAAGCAAGGAAGCCTTGGTTGAAACTATAACATTGAGATTATCCATCAAACAAAACTATAACATTGAATGTAGCACATTGGGCAAAAAGTTCGAAGCTGTTTTCGGATTTCAAGATTGAAGATTTCTTCAGAGCTTGGGGTATCACGGTTGCATCCTCAACTACAAGACAAAGATCTGTTGAGGTTTGGTCTCCCCCAATAAATGGTTGGAAGAAAACTGAATTTTGATGGGAGCTGTTTGGGTAACCCAGGCCCCTCAGGTATTGGGGGAGTCATTAGGGATGAAGAGGGGAACATAATTGCTTTATACTCTGGCCCTTTGGAGCAGGGTGATGTGGCAAGATCAGAGTTTTTGGCTGCAGTTTTTGGGGTTGAGAAGGCAAAAGAACCGGGTATTAGTAGGCTGATTATTGAGGGAGATTCGAAAACTGTGCTTAAGTGGCTGGTAAAAGGGGAGGGGTTGGCATGGCATTTGAGGAATGAATTCAGAAAATTCAAATGGCTGTGACAGGACATGTTAATCCAAGTAAAATGGGTGAGGAGGACTGCTAATGGCTTGGCAGATAGCTTAGCCAAGCAAGGGGTACATAGAACACATATGTTTTGGGCTCAAATGTAGTACTGATTTGGGGCAGCTTCTATAGCTGGTTCTTTTCACAACTTCTTGTTGTGATCATGTTTCTCTCATAATTAACGAAACCTTTTCTGTGTTGCTGATCAAAAAAATAGAGACGAGTAGTTCAAAATTTCAAATAAGATAGAACATAAATGGAACTCATTCAGCCTGCATTCTGATGGGGCTGGCAAGTTGGAATTACAAGTAAAAAGAACACACCCCTAACAACAAAGGACCTATACATGCCAATACTTAAAAAAACTAAGTAGCAAAGTTACATAAAGAATTTAATGGAAAATGTCACCTTCCAACTACAAAGTAATGTCTACAAATTATTGCAGAACTACCACTAAATGCCATAGACTCAAATGAAGAACATGACACTAAATTGAAGTCCTTTACAACTCCAAACTTAAGGATGACTTTGAGAAGGAACTAGTGCTTAAAGGGATTCATCACATTCAGTTGACATAAAGTTGGAGAATGAATAATTGGTGTGTCAACTGTTACTAATAATTAGATAGGCCTTACAAGGGAGTTGGTTGAAGTATGGAAAATTAAGTTCCCTCATACACTAACAGATGTAGATGGAATTAAAGATTTCCTGGAAAGTAATGTACATCCATATCCAAGCAATTCTTTATCCCTAAAACATACTTTTTTTGAGTACATATTTTTAATTTTTTGAGAGAACATATGATTTTTTTACTTAAACTGATGTTTTGTACAACTAATCAAGATTCAAGTATACAATTCTGTATGGTTAGTAGCCCTAAAATGGGAGCAGAACTTATCAAAGCATGTGACCATCTATATATCTATAGATTCTATACTGCATATACCAAGAGTTTTGAACCTGTAGCTCAAGATCAAGAACTTAGGCTTACCAGTATCTAACAGATTTGCATCTGGAGCAACGGGTTGTAGCTGGACCAAAGCATCTTGCACATTCATGAAACCCAACCTTTAAAGATGGAACAACAGGAATAACACTGGCAGCAGCCATTGCCTCTGCACGGAAGGCCTCTTCAGCTGCCAACTGAGCTAGCACGCTTATCCTCTCCTTCTTCTTTGCAGACTCATTCCACTTTCCAAGTAAGATATAAGTAACCAAAGGAAGCACAACCAATACCAAAAACAAGGCAGGTATATCAGCTTCCCTTGGCTCAAGCATGTCCCCTCCAACATACTCATGTCCAGCTTCCTCTCAAAGCAGCTTCTTACAAGAAAGTCTCAATAAGCTGCACAAATTGAGGGTTCTCCTTCAATTTTTCTAACACAATAAGATAGATATAGATAAAAGCATAAGCATATATCTTTTAGTCAACTCCAATAAAAATTTAGGGAAGTATAAAATTTAGGAGTTGTTGACCTCAAACAATCATTTATAGTGGTAAGAACCAGGATCCTCTAACACTCTTTTCCTTCATGCTATAAGTTGAACAAAACAAATACGTAAAAGAGAAATATCCAGAACGGCCGGTGCCTTATGCTTGTAGTGAAACTGCGACCTAAAAGAAGCCATCTTCATCAGGAATCAACAATATGAGAAATGATATGGGGAAGAGAACAACTTTTAGATCCATCCCTTTTTCTTCCTTCCTTCTTCTCTTTTCCTCCAATCAATATAAAGGAAACCATGAGAAGGAAATAAAATCAAAAAAATGAAGAACACAAATATATATACATATATATAATACCATATATTTGTAGCTATTAACTCAAAACCATCAATAAAGGAAGAATCACTGAAAGTTGCATTTCAGTCTGTCTTAGGGAAAAGTAGGCAGAGATCATTATAAAATGCATAAACAGTAGAATCTGCACGATAGGAAAACTGTCAAAATTACCTTAACCCAACAAACTCGGTAGCAATGAGCTAGAGAGACTAAGAGAGAGATAATATCATTCGTACAAATGAAGAAAATGCAACAAAGATGCTAGAATCCCACTCCTGTATATAACCAAAAAGAAAGAAAATAATGAGAAGAGCGGAAAGCTCATATGCTTGGTAATAGCCCTCATATGTATATGAATTTTTTTCTTTTTGATGGGTCATATGTCTTCCCTCTTCTTTGGAACATCTACAATAAAAAATGAAACAAAACAAGCATGAAAGAGCGCCACACATTCCAGACTTACATTCAGTGACTCAATGACAGTCGTTGAAAGGCCTGCATGTTTGACTGCAGACAGGCAGAAAAAATGAAATCTCAACACAAACCCACCTCAAGTGACTTTAGCTACTTCCCCAGACAAGCAGAAAAATGAAATATCAACACAAACCCACCTCAAATGACTTTAGCTACTTCCCCAAATCAACCTACATATGTTTAGGGAAATAAGAAGGCAGTCAAAGTGACCAAAAGAAAGAAGAAAATCGATCTCCTTTTGTTTATTTGAAATAACAAAACCATGAAGAAGAATTTAAAATAATATAATGTAAAAAAAAAAAAAAGTAAAGACTGTTGCAGCATACTCAACACCTTGATGGTAAGAGCAGTAAAATACTGAATGAGGGGAACCCATATTTAAGAAATGTGTTTTTTTCCCACATAAAAAAGCTTCTGCATTAACAATCTCGAGATATCACCAACATTTCAAGCAAGTAGAAGCGAAACCCATCACTCACACCGATAGTAAGATTTTAAAGCACAGCATCTCTCAACATGAGATTCCAAGAGAGACCCATCTTAGAAGCTAGAAGGTCTCCCGTATGGACATTTCGTAGAGAAAAAATCCAAAGCTTTCAACAAGGCAAGCACTACATCAAGCATTGTCAGAGAATATGATTCAAAAGGATTCAGAAACAAGAGAATGATGAAAACTAGAGAATGTTGATAGATTTCTAGAGGACCCAACCTAAAAAACAAGAGAATGATGAAAACAAGATCAATTTTTTGCAGAAACCCCACATTCGCAAGCTTCATCTTTTCACAGATTTCAGTTGTACAGACAATACCAAGATGAAATCCAGCAATTTTTCAGTGTGAGATTTAGAGAAAAAACAAATAAATAAATCGATGAGACACAATAAGGTTTTAACTGTTCTTCATTCTTACCTTAGGCAAAAGGAGAAATCTACAAAAAGCCCGAAACTTCAGCTTCTCCCCACAGATTCTCTGATTCCTCAAAATGCTTAAAGGCCTCTCTCACTCTGCTGCATTCTCTTCTTCGGTCCCTCCTAAACTCTCCTCAACCCACTTAAACAGACTATATACAGTGCTTTCTTCACATCGAAGCTTGAAGAAATCAAGCATCACTACCGTACACGTGGCAAATTAACCAAAACGAATACAGATTAAAATATCAGAACCGTGTGATCAAATGTAAAACCTAGATATCAATGGAAAAATTCTTGCTTATTGTTTTTAACGGCTAGGATCAAGCCATCGCCATGATTGCTACCATCTAATCAGTAGGCATTTCTCGTAAAACATTCCCTCAATTGATTCTTCACCGTACAAATAATGTAATATTGAATGGCCATGATGTTCAGGTTGATTTTGGCCTTTTCTCGTGTTTTATCTTTTTCAAGGGCAACTCGGGCGTCTAAAATCAGAGTTACTCAGACCATTCAAACAGTCGCTTCAGTTCAGGCCTTCAGCAGTTTTTTTTTTTTTTTACAAAATAAAATATTAGTGCATCACATGCCACAAATCTGGAATATTCTTCCAGTTAAGTACAACTAGTCCATCTGTCGGTTTATTAGGTGGTCCCACGAAATTTTTTGATGTGTGGTGAGAGATGCACTTGCACCCCATGAGAGCGAAAGAAGAGTTGTACCTTTACCATTGACTCATCTTTTAACAAGTTGAAATCTTATTTAGAAACCCTAGCTTTTCTTATAACTATAGAAACCCTAATTTGCAAATACAAATATGTACAGTGCAAATCGTTGATATTTGTAAACCTTGTATTTATACTCTACTTTTTTCTTTTTGATATACTGTACTTATTTGTATTCACATTCTTCTCAAACTGAGCCTTTTAGTGCAGATTCAGTTTTACTGGTGCTTGATGTAACAAATAGTTTTCAAAAATTTGAAGACATGTTTGCAACCAAAATGAGAACAAATTTTGCATAAAAAAAATTGATGTAAACTTTGTGTTTAAAGTTGATCAATTTTGAAAATGTACATTTCAGTATTCAGATTCATGTTTGCAACTATTACAACTAAGAACCATCTGGCAAGAAAATAAATTTATTAATACAGAACTAAAGCAATTTTGCATTTGCATGAACCAAAATGCACTCTATATATCTATATTTACACTTTATTTGCGTTCTTAGTGCACAATATTTTTAAACCTTGTATTTACACTCTTTCCAAACTATATATAGAGTGCAAAACCTTGTATTTTGTTTTTTTTTTTGATAAATTATTTTGTATTATTATGTATTTGCATTGTATATATTTATACTTGTACCATTTCCAAATGGAGTCTAAAAGGATATGGTGTGTTTGACACATCATTGCCATGTCATCTATATTATTATAAAGCATATTGATTTTAGTGCAACTCATAAAAGTTAAATTTGATTATATATATAACTTATATCATTACCCTTTATTTATGCACATGCCAGTACACTAATTATATAAAATTCTTAGGAGTTGTTTGATAATTGATGACTGAATGCCTATTTGGGAGATTATCCGGAACACAAATGCTCAACATTTGTAGTAGTTCAACACAAACAAATAAACCCTCCCAAACGGGGCCCAATTGTTTATTGATTTTTCTTGGCCGGACAAAATAGTCAAATAGTAAAATATTCAGGGGTAAAGTAGTCACCCAACTTGCCATTCAGCAATCAAGGGACTCATACTCAATTGCTCATTCAATAAAAGACAAGCTGATAAAGAATTCAGTTCAGTCAATTCAGCCCTTATTAAATGATGCCTTGGCAATTGGCTAATTTCAGGAAACTAGCTTTTCACCAAGGCCTATGGTCTAGTGAATGGCTGGCTCATCCGTATGACCCACCCTTGTACTGCCCTTGTACCATTGTTACACAATCCGTCGTGGGGGACAGTGTACTGAGTACCATCATCCCAAAGGCACAAAGCACTCCTTTTTAGGGTTAATGAGGATTAGAAAGTGTATACGTGGCAAATTCAACCTGGCTGGTTATATAAGAATTAGCCATTTAAGCCCATCAACATCCCTTTGAAAAAAAGGTTATGAACAAATCCAAAGAACCCCACATTAAAAGGCATTTCCCTGGTTAGTTTCCATCACAAAGTAATGTAGTTTATATAGTTAATGTCAGCTCCATTAATTAATCACTGTCTATCTAAAGATCATCGATCTCTTGATTCAGGAAAAGCTAAACCAAATAGAGCTGTCAACGTATGGGTTGGATCCACCTCACAGAAGATAGAATTGAACCGACCAAACCGGTTGTATCGGTTTTAGCTTTTTTTATTTGTATCCCAATTAATAACTGGGTCAGACCGGTTCTTAAGGCCCCAAACCAATTATATACTTAATAATAAATAAAGGTATCTTGGTTTTCTAGTAATCATTGCCTAAAAGGATAAATTTGATGTAGCTTTTCGGAGAAATGGTGCCAGTTCAGCGGTGTAGACGTGTTTAACAATAAATAAATAAAATAAAACACCTAAAAAGTTATTTGACATTTATTTTATAAATGCTATCAATACCAAACAACCCCTAATCAAGAAAGATCCAATTATCCCAATAAATGATTTTATTGATTCAATATCAGACTACCCCAAACCAGACCTGACCCATTAACGGCCCTAACGCGAGTAGAATGTCATCTTCACTCAATGCACTTTCTCACTGAATTAAAAGAAGGCACCATTAATGGATGGCTGTTGCCAGCAGCCTTGGTCTAAAGTTCAATTATACGAAGCAACTTAAGTTCATGGTTGAGGGTTTAGATTTCAGAAGTGCTTTGCACGCCCCATCACGGACGCTTTCCCATTTTGGTACCATTGAATGCGACAACAATGGCTTTGGCCTAGAGAGTGAGTGTACTGCATTGCCTGTTGAACTTAATTGCATTCTGACTGAAGATCAGTAATAATGGAGTTAGGGCCTTAGGGGTTACTGTGTTTCTCCATTGGAAATTTTGTATGGAGGACCCACAAGGTGCAATTGCATTAACCAACCATTCTCTCTGGTGTGTTTAGTTAATAGCACTATTTTAGAATGAACATTAATTGCCTTGGAAAAACAAGAATTATGGGTAGACACATTGTCAAATGTGGGTCCCATTATTTTTTTTATTTTAATTTGAAAAAAAATGAAAAAATAAAAAAAAAAAGGTCTTTATCGAGGTTTAGAGCATCGATAATGTGATCCACAAAAATTGCATATTTCACGATTTAAAGAAATAATAAATTAAGGTGGTGTTTGGAACCAATGCCATTTATTAAGATGCACTTTCTAAGAAAATAGTGCTGGATCGGCATGCCATTTTCTCAGAAAAAAAAAAAAAAATTCTTCTTTTTATTCTTTACCATTGTTGTTGCTGCCACATAGGCATTCTTTCAATGCCATGTTAGTATATTACTACAACAGTCAAAAAAATGAGAAAGCACAAAAAAATGGCATATTCTCAAGCTATACCTTTCCCAAATTTTAAGGCATGATTTGAGAAAACATTTTTTTAAAAAAATATATATAATCAAACATCTAAAAAAATTCAGATGTGGCGCATGACACCAGTTTTTTAAGACACGGCATGGTTTCAAATACCTACTAAGATTTAAAATGCTTCAAAAGCTTCAATTTCAATCAAGGTATATCGGGAAAGGGAATTCAAAAGTGGCTACATGTATCTACCCATTAGGAATGGCAACGGAGTGGGTGGGTGGGATGGGTTCCCTGCAAGGACCCAAATCCCTAAAATTTTTTTAGATAACAGTATTTATTTGAAAAATAAATATACTTAAAATAAATAAAAATTTTAAATTATAAATAATTTTTTAAATATGTTTTGATATATATATATATAATATATAATATATAATAATAATAATAATATAATATATACATAATCGGGGTCAGGGCGGGGCGGGGACCTCAATCCCCATCCCCGACTCCAACCCCAATCAAGGATTCCTGTTAATCCCCATCCCCAATCCAATCAGGTCAAGGAAGTCAGGTCCCCGTCAAGGATGAGGAAAATTACCATCCCTACTGCCCATTTGTGGGTTCAAAAACTAATAGATACGAGTCATCAACTCTCAATGCACACCAATACGGTCGTGATATTTTGAACTTTAGTCTTTATTAGTTTTGCAAACTCATTAAAAGTTCATGCATCTAAAATAAGGAAAAAGGAAAAAGAAAAAAGAAAAAAGTTGGCCTATATATAAATCATCTAAATTAAAGCCATATTATTTCCAAAAGCTCAAATTAAATTGGACAAAGTGCATAATTAAACAAGCAATTATCCCCATATCATGTATGGAGTTGTTAGTTAAAAAAACAATTTGAAATTCATAAGATAGGAAAATGAGCTTCGTTGGTTAAGAGTTGGTTGGTAATACACATCTTCATGGGTTGGGTAGACCGAACCTGGCCCAATGCATTTTAAATTGGGCTTAGACAAAATTTTAAATCTGTGGGTTCGAGCTCAGGTTCTAAAAATCGGGTTCAACAATTTTTTGGGTTAGATTTGGGCTTTCTCAAATAAGCTTAGCTCAAGCTTGAGTTTGGCCCGATAATATTAAATATATAATATAAATATAATATAATATATAATTAATATATTATAAAATACCTATCAGAATGGGGCTTCAGATTCAGACCCGGGCTTCAGTACTCATCCTTCGTGTGTGTCAGTGCATAAGGGGGGACAGTCTTGCTAGGTGGTGTCGCGGGTCCTAGGTTCTGCATCATTTCGAAGATCCTGTCGACCATTTCTTGCAATGTTCGGAACTGCTCAGGATTAACCACAGCTGGAGGCTATGGAGTTTCTTGATGCGAAGGACTACGGTGGCGAGACTCATGAGATGGGATCAGCCTGTTGAACGTTCGAGCTGGTTCTTGGGCATCTTGATTGCGCGGTAAGAAAAGATTTTCGGGAAGGGCTTTTTGTGTGTTTCCCACAGACGACGCCAATTTGATGCAGCTCAATCCGAGGTGGTGCACGAACTGAAGAGAGTAATCAGATAGTCCTTGCTGGCAGGGCGGGGCCGAGCTACAAGGACGAGA